TCAAATAATTAAATGAGAGAATATATTGTCAAGATAACAATACCTACCAAAAATCTTCATACAGTTTGACATATTTCCAAGAATTTATTCTAGAGAAAAATTCTCACTTTTGCAAAATAACATGCATTCTGTGACATTCTCTGCAACATAGACTATTATAGTAAAAGTCTTGAAACAACCTAAACAGCCACTGATGGAAGATTAATTCAATATATTAAGGTTCATTCATACAAATAAATGAGGAAGCTCTTTATCTATATAATAAAAGCATAATACGCTAATTAGACCAGACATCCTTCTGGAAGTCCTTCCTTCCAGACAAAGCTGCAGCAGGCAGGGGCCGTGGCAGACGTGGCAGAGGCCCCCAGCCACAGCGGCAGCGGGTGGGGGCTGGGGCCAAGGCCCTTGCACAAATTTCATGCATCAGGCCTCTAGTGTATTAATAAAGAATAATCACAGCCCTGGCCAGTGTGGCTCAGTTGGTTGGGCACCGTCTTGTGTACCAAAGGGTTGCCAGCTCAATCCCCAATAGGGGGTGGGGTGTGTGGGAGGCAGCCAATCGATGTTTTGTTCTCACTTCCATATTTCTCTCTCTCCCCCTCTCCTTTCCTCTCTCTCTAAAAAATCAATAAAAAAAATTTTTTAAAGAATAATCACAGATATATTGACCAGTGAAAAATGCAAAAGGTTTACATAGTCTCTCACTTATATTAAAAATATACATATATCATATAACTCAACATAAAAAAAACAAACAGCAATCCAATTAAAAATGGGCAAAGGACTTGAACAGACATTTCTGCAGCAAAGATGTAAAAATGGCCAATAAGTACATGAAAATATGCTGAACATCAAGAGTCATTAGGGAAATAAAAATCAAAATCACAAGATTAACACTTCATACCCATTAGACTGGTTATTTGAAAAAAAACAAAATTTAGAAACTAACAAATTATGGAGGGGGTGTGGAGAAACTGGGGAAAAAAGCATCTTGTGTTGTGCTGGTGGGAATGTAAAATGGTGTAGCTCCTGGGAAACAATACAGTGTGGTGTTAAAACATTAAACAGAACTATCATGACCCAGATATTCCACCTCTGGGCTTATACCCAAAAGAACTGAAAGCGGGGATTTCAACAGATATTTGTACACTGATGTTCATAGCACATTATTCAAATAGCCAAAAGTTAAGAATAATTTCAGTGTCCATGAACAGATGGATAAACAATATATGTGTATGGTACATACACACAGTGGAATATTATACAGCCTTATAAGTAAGGAAATTCTGATACATGCTACTATGTGGATGAACCTTGAGAACATTATGCTAAGTGAAATAAGCCAAACACAAAAGAACAAATATTGTATGATTCCACTTATACGAGGAACCTAGAATAGTCAAACTCATTGAAATAGGAAGTACAATGGTGGTTTCCAGGAATTAGGGAGAAGGGAAATGGAGAGTTATTGTTTAAAGCAGTGGTGGCAAACCGGTGGTCCGCGGACCACTTGTGGTCCGTGAGGTCTGAAAGGTTGGCAACTGCTGGTTTAAGGAAACCTTTGTAGTAGCAGTCATCAAATAGTGGTTCCCCAAACACTGGTGGTCCATGAGGTCTGAAAGGTTTTCGACCGCTGGTTTAAAGGGTACAGAGTTTCAGTTTAGAAAGATGAAAAACTCTGGAGATATATGGCAGTAATGTGAATGTCCTTAATGCCAGAGAACTGTATCCTTAAAATGGTTAAAATGTTAAATTTATAGAAAGATAAATACCATATGATTTCATTTATATATGGAATCTAAAAAACAAACTAAAGCAAACACAAAAGAAACAAACTCATAGATACAGAGTTTGGGGAGGTGGGCAAAAAAGAGGAAGAGATTAAGAAGTACAAATCACCAGTTATAAAAATAGTCACATGGATGAAAAGTACAGCATAGGGAATATAGTCGATAATCCTATATAATAAAAGGGTAATATGCAAATTGACCCTAACAGCAGAACGACCGGGAACAACCGTTCGCTATGATGCACACTGAGCACTAGGGGGAAGACGCTCAATGCAGGAGCTGTCCCCTAGTGGTCAGTGCGCTCCCACAGGGGGAGCTCTGCTCAGCCACAAGCCGAGCTGATGGCTGCGAGCACAGTGACAGAAGCCTCTCCCGCCTCCTCAGCACCACTATGGATGTCTGACTGCAGCTTAGCCCTGCTCGCTGGGCCTAAGCCACAGTCGGACATCCCCCGAGGGCTCACAGGCTGCCAGAGGGATGTCTGACTGCCAGCTTAGGGCCTAAGCCAGAAGGTGGACATCCCCCAAGGGGTTCCAGACTGCGAGAGGGCGCAGGCCAGGCTGAGGGACCCCCCGAGTGCACGAATTTTTGTGCTCCAGGCCTCTAGTATTGTAACAACTAATAATGGTGTCAGATGAGTACTAGACTTATGCAGGCAATAACTTCATAAGTTATATAAATGTCTAATCACCATGTTGTACACCTAAAACTAACAATACAGTTGTCAGCTGTTAACTGAACTTTTTTAATGTTTTAAAGAAATAAACTGCATAACCAGTGTGTATAATTTTCCAAACTGAATCAGACATTAAACTTTTAAATAGGTTTTAAAATGTTAAATTTTATGTTATATATATTTATAATAAAAATACATACATACACACACACATTTGTATGTATTGTTTGTATTTGCATGGACAATCCCTAGAAGAATCAGAGAAACTTATAACAAATCTTGCCTTTAGAAAGGTGAAATGGATAGCCAGGAGTTAGAGGTGAAGAGACTGACCTGTCACTATATATTTTTTCTACCTTTTGAATTTTATCCCACATAAATATACTGTCTATTCAAAACCTTAATTTTCAATCAATATTATTGATTTAAATCTGAACACAGAACAGGAAAATGTATGTAAGTCAAAATATATTATGTCCTATGTTTTGTATGAGGCAAAATAAAACTGCTCCTAAATAATGATTTTGAAAATATACCTCAACTTTCAAAACTATTTAACAAGGAAAATGAACTGTTTCAGAACTTAAAATATCAAAACAGAAATAAGTAAAAAGGTCTTATGAGAATTTTGTATGTACAATATAATATTGTTAACCCAGATTAAATAGAGAAAAACTAAATCTAAATTATTTACCACAAGAATATAAAGTGGAATAAATTAAATAATAATACCTAATATTGTTCTAAGCATTAAATCCCAAGCAAATTTGTCACAAACTAAAAATGTTCTAAGAGTTTTAAAAATGCCCATTGACTGCCCTAGTCCATTTGGCTCAGTGGATAGAGCATCAGCCTGTGGACTGAAGGGCCCTGGGTTCAATTCCAGTGAAAGGCACATGCCTGGGTTGTGGGCTTGATTCCCAGTAGGGGGAGTGCAGGAGGTAGCCAATTAATGATTATCTCTCATCATTGATGTTTCTATCTCTCTCTCCCTTCCTCTCTGAAATCAATAATAATATATTTTAAATAAATAAATAAATAAAATAATAAAAATGCCCATTGACAATAGCAGTTCTCAAATTTTTGGATCTCAGTTCCCCTTTACACTTTTAAAAATTACTGAGATCCTCAAAGAGTTTGTTAATATGAGTTATATTTATCTATAAGTACCGCATTAGAGATCAAACATCAAATTTTAAAAATATTATTACTTTATTTAGAAAGAACCATTTAAAAACCCATTCTGTGTTTACATTAATAACATAATTTTCATGAAAATAAACTACGTTTTCCAAACCAAAAAATAACTTTAATTAGGAGAATGGCTGTTTTACATGTTTGCAAGTCTCTTTCATGTCTGGCTTAATAGAAGACACCTGAATTCTACTATCTGGTTCTGCATTCAATATGTTGCAATATCACATAACATGTAGCTTTTAAAAAACTCCATACACACTTGTGAAAAAAAAAATGAGATTGAAAGTAGCAAATACTGTCTTTGATTTATTATGAAAATAGTTTAGACTTCACAGACCCCTGAAAGGTTCCTTGGGACACACAGGGGTCTCCTAACCCTGCTGTGTCAAATACTCCTATGAGGGGAATATGGAAACTGAGGCCCAGAGGGCATCAGTAAGTCACTCACAGTCACAAAGCCAGGCCTGGAACTCAGGAAGTCCGATTCCAGACCTCAGAATTGCCCCTGGGAGCTGGTGGGAAGCAGCAAGGCATCTCATGTTGCACACAGTGATGGAAAACCCACTGGCTGTGGCAGACACAATACCTGGGCTCCCCTCTACCCACTGTGGCTGATGGTGGTGCCCACAGCCAATAAGGAGGGAATATGCTAATTGACTGCCCCGTCCTCAAAGATGGCCCAGGTGGGCCCAGCTGCTCCGTGTGCTTGCCTCCGGAGACCCCCAGTCCCCTCAGCCTCCCAGCCAGCCAGGGCCAGCCCGAGACGCAGGCAAGCCTTGAATGGCAGCTGCCCAGCTGCCCAGGGCTGCCCAAGGCTCAGGCAACCAGGGCAGGCCAAGGCTTGCGCTGCCAACTGTGGCAGCAGCAGAGGTGTGATGGGGCTTCGCCTTCCCCTGATCGCCGGGTCGCCTCCCACCCCTGAGGGCTCCCAGACTGTGAGAGGAGGCAGGCCAGGCTGAGGGACCCCCCTTCAGGGCATGAATTTTCATGCACTGGGCCTCTAGTTTTAAAATAAATCTATTCATTCACTCAACAAATATTTACTGAATGCCAACTTTGTGTCTAGCACTACTGCTACAGTAGAGTTTCTCTAACTCACAGAATTAGTTTGGAACAGGCAATGTAGATATATTCTTTTCACCAGACTATAAAGAATAAGAAATAGTATGGATCTGAAGCAGTAGTTAGCAAAAAGACCTTTTACAGGGCACCACAACATAAATACTTAAAATAGCATGATAAATCCAAGGAATGTTTAAAAAAGAAAAAAGAGCCCTCTTCTATTTTATGAATTATATCAGTAATTTAGAATAAGAAGAAAAAAAATATTTCCAAACCTCACATCCACTGTATTATTCAGCTCATGGTCAAACACTTCAAACGCCTCTCTGACTTTTCTTTGCAAGTCTGCTACTACTAACTCTGTAAAAGACAAAGTAAATAAAAATTATTTTACTTTAATTTTGAATTCAACAGAAAAATTTCAATAAACTACAAATTCTCAATAAGAAAGAATATGCAGAACTCTTTCCTAATCGTCTTCATGTGTCATTTAGCATGTTTAACTTCCTCGGGCGATCTCAAAGAAGGGAACAAACTTTTTTTAGACCTTTTTAGTACCAAAGGTGCACTAATCTTAAATGCACAGCTTCATGAGTTTTTACATAAGTATTTAGTCATGGAGCCACCACCCAGATGAAGATATAGAACATTTCCCACACACCCTATCCTCTATCTCAAGCGTAGCCTGAGAGGCCAAGGAATCAGTGTCACCGATATTGACTGGGGTGCACTAGTTGCCCACCTGCCTTGCTTTTCCTACACTTGAGGGCTGAAGTTGGGGGATGGGAAGCATACAAAAGCAACAACTGGTTTTGAGACAATTAAAAAGTAATTTATTTAATAACTATTTATGGAGTACCTACTATGTACTAGACACTATTCTAGCAGGTTCGATTCCGGTCAAGGGCATGTACCTGGGTTGCGGGCACATCCCCAGTAGGAGATGTGCAGGAGGCAGCTGATCGATATTTCTCTCTCATCGATGTTTCTAACTCTCTATCTCTCTCCCTTCCTCTCTATAAAAAATCAATAAAAATATATTTTAAAAAAAAAGTAATTTATTTAATAACTATTTATGGAGTACCTACTATGTACTAGACACTATTCTAGGTGCTCAGGTTATAGCAAGGAACAAAAAATCTCTGCCTCCATGAGACTTTTTTAATCCTCACCCGAGGATATTTTTCCATTGATGTTAGAATGGGAGAGAGAAATATCGATGTGAGAGAAACACATCGATTGGTTGCCTTCCATGTGCACCCCAACCAGGGCCCAGGCCGGGAAGTCTGCAACCAAGGTATGTGCCCTTGACCAGAATCGAACCCAGAACCCTTTGGTCCCAGGCTGACGCTCTATCCACTGAGCCAAACTGGCTAGGACTCCCTGGGATTTTTTATTGGGGGAGATACATAAGCTTACACATATTTGGTAAAAGATTAAGTGTAAGACAAATGGTGCTGGAAAAAATAAAGCAGGGAAGGGATGTGAAGAGTCCTAGGGGTGCTGGTGGAGGAAAAGGGTGGTATGATGGCTTGGGGAGGCCTACTTGATGGTAAGTTGACATCAATGCAAACCAAAGGAGGGGAAAGAGCCCTATAAATAACTGCAGGAATAATTTTTAGGCAGAGAGAACAGAAAAGCAGAATGACAAGAAATAAGGTCAGAAAGATGAGTTTTGGGGTGGAAGACAGATTCTATACAGGGGCTACATTAAGGATTGTGTCTTTTACTTTCAATGAGATGAGAAATCACTGCAGGTTTCTCAGCAGTGATGTGACATGGCCTGGCTTATATTCACTTTGGCTATTGTGTTAAGAATATACTAGAGCCCGGGCTGGTGTGACTCCATTGGTTGAGCACTGTCCCGTGCACTGAAAGATTGCCAGTTCAATTCCCAGTTGGGGGACATGCCTGGCTTGTGGGCTCCATCCCTGGTAGGCGGTATGTGGGAGGCAGTAAATCAATGTTTCTCTCTCTCCCTTTCCCTTCCTCTCTCTCTAAAAATCAATACATATACTGGAAAGGAACAAGGGTGGAGTCAAAGAGGCCAGAGAGGAGGCTATTGCAGTATTCCAGGTGAGAGACTGATGGTGACTTGTACCAGAATGGTAGCAGTGAAGGTGGTGAGAAATGGTAGGGTTTCAGGTATATACTTTAAAGGGTAGAGCCACAAGATTTGCTGATAGGTTTGATGTAAGGTGCAGAGAGAAAGAAAGGGGTTGAGGTGGACACCAAGGTGTTTGAAATAATATTTTAAATGCAATCAAGTCTCAAGATTTGTTTTTCAAATAATAAGTACAATAGGACACCCAAAAGGAAAAGATTTTTAAAAGTATGAGTTTAGATAATTATTTTAATTATAAATACCATCAAATTATAGAAAATGGGGAAAATGTCAATTAACTCATAGTCCCTTTACCCTACATAAGCACCATCATTTTCCTGTATTGTCCTCTAATCTTTCTCCATACACACCTGTTACATATAGCACTTAGTAACCACATTCATTCATTCAACAAAAACTTACTGAATGAACACTATATCAGCTTCTGGTCAGGTGCTATGTCTACATTTACAATCAGAGAGGTAAGCATCTCATTTTTAGAAAAAAAAATCCAAGTTCAGAGAGGTTCGTACACTGGCCCAAGACTGCAGAATTACTAAGTGGCAGAGTGGGACTGAATCCAGATTTTTCTCACTTGAGGGATCCTGCTCTCTCTCATTCCCTATCCCACCTAACTAGTTTAAAAACTTTAATTCCTAATTATTTCACTCAACTGTTATGTTTTTTCCAGGCTGCAACATAATCTCCATAATCTTCCATTTTTAATAGTACCAAAGGAATATCCTACAATTATTGATATTAATTTTTCTTACATGGCAGTGAACAACTTTTGCTGATTTAACAAGTAAAAATAAATGCCATCTCATTGTAATCTACACTGCTTTGATTACAAATGAATCTGAATAATGATCCATAGGTTTATCACCTCTATTTTCTGTTATATATTATCTGTTCATGTTCTCCATAAGTTCCTCCATTTTTTTTCTTAAATTTTTTGCGCTCTTTAAATAATAAAGACTTAACCAGTAGGCTGGAAGGGGTCGATGGAGGAAAAATGGGAGACATATTTAATAATTTTTTTTTTAATCCTCACCTGAGGATACCTTTCCAACTGATCCTTAAGAGTGAGTGGAAGAGAGAGGGAAAGACAGAGAGAAACATCGATGTGAAAGAAACACATCAACTGGTGCCTCCTGCACATGTCCTGACGTGGGCCCGGCCGGGAAGAAGCCTGCAACCGAGGTACGTGCCCTTGACAGGAATCGAAACCGGGATCCTTTGGGCTGAAGGCCGACGCTCTATCCACTGAACCAAACCGGCCAGGACATGTAATACTTTCAATAATAAGATTTTTTTAAAAGACTTAACCTGTGTCATAATAAGTGCAAACGATTTTCCAGGTCAGTTTGGATTCGTTTTTTCTAAAATAAAAAATGGTCTTATATCCTTTCTGATCATCATGATTACTGGAGGAAGAAAAGGATATGGAAGAGTTTAGATTCAGTAAAGATCACTTCAAATCCTACCACAGTTAATTACTCTTGTCTTTTTGTAATCCAATTTTTCAATAAACTAAGTGTCTTTCACTCTCAAAAATATTATATTATCATTTTAGTGACTGGCATTGTATTATAGAGCTTTATCATAATTTATTTAACCAAACACCAAATTGTAGACATTTAGGTTGTTTCTGATTTTTCATTGTTATAATTATTCTTTAACTAGAGGCTGGTGCACAAAAACTCATGCACTTGAGGGAGTCCCTCAGCCAGGCCTGCGCCCTCTCACAATCCGGGACCCTCGGTCCCCTAGGCCTGGCCCGAGATCAGGGCCTATTGGGGCTTTCCTTCCCCAGGCTGCAGGCAGCTGGCCCCACCCTCACCACTGTCACTGCCTGCCATCTGTGCAGCGCTGCCCCCCCCTCCCCTGCCACTGGTGGCCTCCCTCTGCAGGTGACAGGCTGGGGTGCGATGGCTTGGTTGGCCTAGGCCTCCATCTTTCACTTGCCTGCCTACCTGATCACCACTAACTGCTTGCTGGGGGGTGGGGCCAGCCCTGTGAGGGGCCGTCTGCCTACCTGATCGCCCCTAACCACTCACCTGCCTACCTGATCACCCCTAACCACTTGCCTGCCTGCCTGATCGCCCCTAATTGTTTGCTTGGGGACAAAGCCAGCCTGGTGAGGGGCCATCTGTCTACCTGATCTCCCCTAACTGCTGGCCTGCCTATCTGATTGCCCCTAACCACTTGTCTGCCTACCTGATCACCCCTAATCGCTAGTCTGCCTACCTGATCACCCCTAATCGCTAGTCTGCCTACCTGATCACCCCTAATCACTAGTCTGCCTACCTGATCACCCCTAATCACTAGTCTGCCTACCTGATCACCCCTAATCGCTGGCCTGCCTACCTGATCTCCCCTAACCATTCTGCCTGCCTGCCTGATTGCCCCTAACCGCTTGCTTGGGAGCGGGGCCAGCCCACGAGGGGCCATGGTGGCCTGGTCTCTGGTCGTTTCGGTCATGACGCCTCTGGCCTTTTATTATATAGGATGATCCATCTTGCACAATTCACCCTTGTGTATTGTCTTCTTATCTAAATGAAATAGAATAAGTTGAATACATTTGAATTTGTGTGAGGCACTGGAAAGGTCCTTATTACTCATGATAGTACCTAGGGAAGATCTCACTGGTTGGAACACTGCCAGTGCACAAAGCTGATACCTGCTTTTTAAATTTAAGAATATCTTTAAAGTCCATTATCTTTCATTCTTAGGTAGTCACAGCTGTTGAGATTCCTTATCTTATAAAGTTTAGAAACATATCCTTTGAGGAGCTTTTGGGTTGGTGAACAAGTGGAGGTCCTGGAGGAGTATCGCACCCAGAGAGCCCGTGGAAGTTCCACGCCCCTCCCCTCCTACTTGGCCCTGTGCATCTCTCCACTCGGCTGTTCCTGAGTTAGGATCTTAGCAAGAATATCAGAGGATGGTCAGTCCAAGTCTCGATCGGAGTTGTGAATATTTCCACTGCTGCTGATAGAAAACCACCCCAAGGCAGCCTACCGCAAAGCTCTAGTACACTTTCTTATACTGTGCTAATGTCACATTCCTAAGTCAAGTACAAATGATGTTCATTTTATCCAAAAATTCTTTAGAGGGGAATTATTCTAATGTTTCATTTTTGTCTAAATACAGAATAGATGTGCGCCCCCAGTGTATATGCAAGACAATTCAATGGGTTGTGGGAAGAACACATTACAACTTCCATTTATTTTTGAAAAAAAAAAAAAACAGAAGA